AAGTCTGTTGGGACTGAGACATTTTGGCAACTGTTGGCAAGAAATTCAATTTGACCTTCCACCCTCCTGTCATTGGGCCTTCCCATCTCCTTCTTTGAGAAAAGTAATCTGCAACTGATTTATGTGGCCTTACAGGTCAGTCTTCATCTTATGACCACAACTGGGACTGACATTTCCGTTGCTAGGCAAGATGATTAAGTGAGTCACAACTGATTTTAAGATATTTTTTCCCATAGTTGTTAAGCAAATCACTGCAATTGTTAAGTGAATCATGCAGTTGTTAAACAAATCTGGGTTCCAACAGTAACTGCTTATTTTGAGGACTGGTCATAAGTCACATTTTCAGTGCTGTTGTAACTTTGAGCAGTTGCTAAAAGTTGTTGGTTTATGTTTGTAAATACATACTTCTTTATGTGTGCATAGTACTCTCTCTCTCTCTCTCACACACACACACACACACATATACATATACAAACACAGACACACATACATATGCATACAGAGATATAAGGTTGTAACAAAAGTCATGTCCCATAGACACGTAATTATATAAATTACATGGTTGAATTGGTTGCCATTTTTTTCGAAACATTCATTTGATTATGACTTTTAAGTATTCTCAAATACAGTAATATTTTATTTGAAAAAAGGTTAATTAAAGATATTGTGATTGGCCTATGGGGCGTGGATTTTGGTACATTCATTATATACGCACAGTCAGAAATGCATATAAAGTTTAATTTATATAGACCTAAAGAAAGCATAAGGGTGATATACTTAAAGGCACAAAAATTCCTTCATTACTAGCTTGTCTCTAATGTCTCTAGAGCAGGGGTGTCAAACTCAATTTCATTGAGGGTTGCAACAGGGTTGTGGTTGCTCAGTTTTGATTTTTGAGTTGATCTTTAAATTACTTTATTTCTTTGCCTGACCTATTTATCTTACCCTGAGCTTTTGTTTTGTAATGATTTTGCTTTGTAAATTCAAGCTTGTTGGTGTGTAGGTCAGAGCAAGAAAAGTAGGAATTAAAAAAATATTCTCCTGGATTTCAAATGGGCAAAATTTTATTTACAAAGTAAGCGTTATAATTATTCCTGACTCACTGAGAGTAAATTGGGTGGCTATATAAATATTCTTAAATAAATATTACCCTATTATAGTATTTCTGATCAAAATTAATTTTAGAAGATATTGGAGACCATAGTAATCAGTGACTCAACTGAGGTGACACTGAGTGGATTTGATCTCTGAACTACCCAATGAATTCCTGGAATCCATTTATAAATGAAGAAAGGTTCATCAGTCAAAACAGACTGTAGAGGTGGGGCAAAGAGAACTTTAAAACACTAGCAGGAAAATGTATCTTTTAGTTGTAGGTCTGATGAGAGGGAGGTGGATACAGAGTAATATCATTTTTTCCAAAATGGTTCCTGGCCCCTTCTGGGAATAGCACAGTGAATAAGAGTGAATAACAGAGTGAATAAGCCCTTCATGCAATGTACAGGTAGTCCTCAACTCATGACCACAATTGAACCCAAAATTTCTGATGCTAAGCGAGACAGTTGTTAAGTGAGTTTTGCCCCACTTTATGACCTTACTTGCCACAGTTGTTAAGTGAATCACTGAAGTTGTTAAACCAGTAATCTGGTTGTTTTAGTGAATCTTGCTTCCCCGTTGACTTTGCTTGTCAGAAGGACGCAAAAGGTGATCACATAACCCAGGACACTGCAACCGTCATAAATATGAGTCAGTTGCCATTTTGATCACCATAGGAATGCTGCAACAGTCATAAGTGTGAAAAACCATTGTAAGTCACTTTTTTAGTGCCGTTGTAACTTCGAATGGACACAGAATGACTGTTGTAAGTTGAGGACTACCTGTAATTGCAATCTTTGCTAATTGCTCAACAAGATTGAGGGGCAGTGGCGTACCAAGGGTATCCATTCCATCAAGGAACAAGCAATAAGGGCTGTGGTAAAGACACATGGAGACTCCTTGTGATTTTTCTCCTCGTGCAATTTTCTTGGCAGAATCTTTCAGAAGTGGTTTGTTGTTGCCTTCCTCCTAGGGCTGAGAGAATAACTGGCTCAAAGACACCCAACTGGCTTTATGGTTAAGATAGGACCAGAACTCAAGTCTCCTGGTTCTAGCATGGTGCCTTAACCATTTCTTTACACCAAATTGGCTTTCAGCCATGAAGTGGGTGAGGGAGATTTAAAAAACGATCTGTTCTAGATACCAGTTAGTATCTATGTACACCACTGCTGAGGAGACATCATCAGCTTTCTTAATTACTACAAACCATTTCAGACAGTCCTCGACTTACAACCACGATTGAGCCCAAAATTTCCATCGCTAAGCAAGGCAGTTGTTAAGGAGCCCTAGTAGCGCAGCAGACTAAAGCACTGTTATTAACATCAGCTGCCTGCAATTACTGCAAGTTCAAATCTCACCAGGCTCAAGGTTGACTCAGCCTTCCATCTTTTCTAAGGTAGGTAAAATGAGGACCCAGATTGTGGGGGCAATAAGCTGACTTTGTATAAATATACAAAAGTATGAAGGTTATTGCTTAACGCATTGTAAGCTGCCCTGGGTCCTCGGAGAAGGGCGGCATATAAATCAAATTAAAAAAAAAAGTGTTTTGCTTCTTTTTGTGACTTTTTTTTTGCCACAGTTGTTAAGCCAATCACAGCAGTTATTAAATGAGTTTGGCTTCCCCCACTGCCTTCGCCTGTTGGAAGACAGTTGGGAAAGTTACAAGTGTTGATCACATGATCCCAGGTAAATGCGACTGTCATAAATACATGCTGGGTGCCAAGTGCCCAAATTTTGATCAGGTGACCATGGGGATGCTACAATAGCTGTAAGTGTGAAAAATGGTGTAAGACACTTTTTTCAGTGCCCTTGTAACTGCAAATGGTCACTAAATGAATGGTTGTAAGTCAAGGACTACCTGTATTCCATGAATTGAAGAAAGCTCAGGCTGGTCATTATTTATTAAGCTAAGCTTCTTCTCATGTCCAGGATATTTCTATGATTGTCTTTGTGGAAGAAGAACATTGGAAGAAGAATAGAACTTCATCTTTAGCACATCTCAACCAATTTCACCGGCTTTTGAATCTGCAGGAGAAAATTCACAGAATACTTTGTGTGCAATATATTCATATCTGACAGAAAATCCAATTTGTTTTCCTAATAGCTGAATTTTTCTTTGTCCTGTTTGATTATACATTAGACATTTTTTGTTGAATAACTGTTTTCTTCTTCCAGAAATCCAGTTGATTAAAGATGCCATTTCCACAAAATAATAAAATAAAATAAAATAAATCCAGGCCTATAATTATCATCCATTATGTAGTAAATTTAATTATCTCTTTTGTTGTCCCCAACAAATCTAAGCCAGATTTCTTTGCAGAAAAAGAAGGCTCTTTCTATCACAATGGGACTCTTAAAAAATACAACATTTCTAGATTCTTACTATGAATACATACCTAGGAAGCTTTTTAAAAATTTTCTTTTAGCATTATATTCTTATCTAATATCTAACTCTTAGTTCTAGCTCCAAAGAGCTGTCCCATTTATCATGTTCACCTTGTTACAGAGCATAATGACTAATTTTTCTCCTTAGAGTCATATTCTAGGTTAATATTTAATGTATGCTATTGCTGCTTTTTTGTATTTCTAAAGGCCAATGGCCTTTAGAGCAGAATTATGCTTGACTAATATGCCTTTTTATTTTTATTTATTTATTTGTTGGAGAAAGCAAATTGGAGAGAATCTGTATTCTCTGAAAATATACCAAAATGGTAAAATGCTTATATGTAGGTCAATCTGTGTATTTGGAAGGCAAAGCCTTAAATGAGATATGTGATAATATAACACAGTCATGTTATTCATGACAACAAAGAAGAGATGCTTAGAACAAGTATGTTTTGCTTTTGAGGCCAAATTAGTGGGTCCCCCCCCAAATCTGTTATGCTTCTTGCTGTATAATTGGTGGTGGGACATTTATTTAGTTATGTTAGGTTGTACAGTAGCACTTGAATCTACTTAACATCAGGTTTACTCCCAGAAACATGTTTGTGTCATAGACTATAGTTTAATATCAGATGATCCTTTTCCCAGGGTTTTATCTTTTTTTTTTTTTTTGACAACTGCCTTTTGTTGCTTTTGTTCTGAAATTGTTTCAATAGTTCAAACGTTTGTGTCTATTTCATGTTACATGTGTCATTTTTACTTTTGTCAATTGCAAGATAACTGCTTATAGCTGAATAGAACCAAAATATTGTCACTGCAACCACATCAGGCCCATTTAATCAATGTATTGGTAGAAATGGAGAGTATAGTATTGGCAGCAACAAGAAATTGTTGCAGTGCATGACTATAATTATTTTGCTTGGTGACACTGAAACACAGTAATGGCATTTGGTGCTAAAATAGTAGTAAAATTAACCTACTAGGACTCCCTTACAAAGAATTCAAAATGATAGAATCAATGATTTTTTTAATAAAAAAATGAATTTATTCATAGAATAGAATCCTGGATTCATTTTTTTTACATATTAATTAAGATTAAAACTTGAGGAAAGCAAGTAATTGTGTGTGCGTGTATACATTATAACATTTTATATATTTTAAATTAAAATGATTTGTAACATCAAATAGACAGAAGAAGAACAGTATCTGTCTTTCAGATATGCTGATTCCATTCCTCATCTACCACAAGCATTGACCTAAAAATACAAATGGTTAAGGAAGTGATAGGTGAGATTAACCTATCCAAAAAGAAAAAGACAGAGTTACAATGAGAAAAAGCTAGAAGGCCAGATGGATTTGCTTTCACCATCTGTTTGAGAATTTCACCCACACAGCTTACAAATTCAGAATTCTCCTTGATTTGAGTAGGAGTGACCTGCTTCATGTAGCTGTTCTCTATAACCTGAAGGATGAACTACATTATTTCTGAAAGCTTTTATCAACTCTTTTATTTAGAAATCTGAATTTGGGACTTCGGAACGAAAAGCTGGGCAGGAATCGGAAGAAAACTGAAGGGAGAGGGTAAGAAATATATATAGGTATTTATCTTCCTTATTGTGCAGAATATAAGATATACCGATAAATACCATAACAGACATAATTACTGGCATGTGCATACTTATATTTCAAACATATAATTAAAGAGTTGAAGTTATGTTTGGAGCACAGCCACACCTGTACATCCTGTGACAATGCATATTCATCTCTATTATCTTTACAAATTAAGTTCTGCTCTATGTTGGCCATGTCATGTTTAATGTTTTATTTATGTGCTTCTTTAACAGAAAGAAATTTGCAGACTATTAGAAGCAAAAAAAATTGTTCCACATATCATGCAAAGCAAACTTTGTATCAAGTTTACAGTAAACATACAACCTCCCCTTATGGTGTTTGTAAATATTTGGCACATTCCCATAACTGAAAACATAAGATGTGCATAACTCTAGGAAATGTAGGCTGCACAATATTCCAATCAATTGTAGCTACTAGGGCTGTGCAACATTGCAGGTTTGGTCACTAAAAATTTTTGAATCTCTTCAAAATCTTTGGATGCCCAACATAGCAAATATATAATTATAAACATATAAATATATAAACATTCCTGTTTCAGCAAGCCGGCCTGGCCTAACTTTCCCTTTATATTGCTTTTTGATTTTATTTTAAACTGGGATGTCTTGAATTATCTAGGACCAGAGTGTTTAGTATATTTTAATTGGTTTTTTTTTATTAACGTTTATATTAAATGTATTTTTATCGTTCGCTGTTCACCGCCCTGAGTCCCTTAGGAATAGGGCGGTATATAAATTTAATAAATAAATAAATAAATAAATAAATAAATAAATAAATAAATAAATAAATAAATAAAATCTGGGTCCCACAAAAATAGAAATAAAAGCCTGTTGACTTTGAAAGGTAGACATTGGTAGGTATTCTATGGTTACCTTTAATTATAGGTTTTAACAATACACAACACTGAAATCATGCTATTGACGGTTTACATTGATCTAATAATTGTAAAATAATAGATGAGAGCTAATGGGATTTAAGAGTCATCTACATAGAGGTCAAAAGAGTCAAGATGGTAGCCACAACCACAGACTTGAAGCCCTGCCCCCTTTTTAAAGTGTGTTGTTTGCTTCTGACATGCCCTCAGGACTAACATCTCAACTTCTTCTTTGATTGTCTGCTAGAATCATTCCTGGGTTGAAATAGAATTTGCTGCTATGAAAGCAGCTTCCCCTTTATTCAAATGAAGAGCTTTATCCAAAACACAAGGGAGAGAAAGAAAGCTAAGTAGAAAACTAAAATGTTATTTTATTTTGGCTCCTAAGCTCAAGCCTTGGAAGGCTAGAGCTCCAGGAAACACACAGCTGATTTGCTAACTTCCCTTTCCTCCATAGATTTGAGTTGAGACCAACCTTTACTTTACCATAGAATCTTTCCAAATTCAGGAAAGGAAACTTTGTACCAGCTGCAAAACATCTGTGCATCACCAGTGTACTTGCAGAATGGATACCTCGTATATATCAACTTCATTTCCAATATCTTGATTATCTTCATAATCAAGATTATGAAGCAAATGGGAAAAGCAAATGGAGGAAATCTTCACAAAAGCTCTTGACTTATGACTGATCATTTAGCAACCATTCCAAGTCACAGCAGGCCTTCCAGGGCTTCTTACAAACCAGATTCCAAGTTGTGACACTTCACAACTTGCAGGTATTTATGACAGTTGGAGTGTCCCTGGCTCACGTGGTTACCTTTTGACAAGCAAAGTTAATAGGGTTGCCAGAAGATTTCACCTTTTGATTAGCAAAGTTAATGGGAAGCCAGATTTCACTTACCAACCATATTGCTAAGTTAACAACTGCATTGTTTCTCTTTAGCACTGTGGCAAGAAGGTCATAAGATGGGGCAAAGCTCATTTAACAACTGTCTTACTCAGCAACAGAAATTTTGGGGTCAATTGTGTTCGTAAGTCAAGGACTGCCCATATGGTGCAGATACTTTCCACTTCCAAAGCTGAGCAACAAGTGGCAAGACATTCTGTACCCCATAAGGCTGAGAGAGAAAAGAGAGATTAAAGTTGACTCCTGGGTGAGCTACATATATAGCCAGCTGGATGGGTAGATTTTGCAGTCACTGATCTTTGTCCTGTGGGCTTCCCAACTGTAATAAAACCAATTTTAGCTCTCAGAACTTTGTTCATGTCTTATGCTGGCTGTTGAGTTTTTAGAGAGAGTTTTAGTGCTGTCCCTGGGTTGCTCGCTGATAACAAAAAGCACATGTATGAAAGTGACTGATAACTAAAGAGTTATGAGTGGGGATTATTCTGCTAAATCATCCTGCCGCAAACCTTTCTTAACAGCTGTGAGGAATTATTATCCAAGGGTTGAGGCACAAGTTTGGAGGAAAACTCCTACAACTCTGCAAATGAGGGAAGTTTGGAAGAGTATACTCAGTAAAAAAAACAAAAAACAAAAAAAAAAAAACAAACCAAAAAACCTACATAGCTGTCTTTATTCTAATGTGTCTACTAAGAAAACAAGGATTTATTTCCTCAGGAGATATTGTCTCATCAAGACAGATCATTGTGATAGAGAGAGACCAAACTTTAAGACCACAAATCACATGGGAGCCCCTGAAAACAATTAGCCCTCCATCCATTTCCCCTTAATGTTTAGACATGGAAATGCAGGTGATGCTATTTACACCCTTTGTCTTTCTCCATCATATCTCTGCAGCACTGGAGACCAGAAATAAATCCCACATCGACACAGTATTTGGCACAAGGTTCCAGAGTCTTTATGTCTTTGGTTTCAGTGGTGTCAGGATAAAAAAGGAGAGCATTTCCATAAATCAGTGTTTCTCAACTTTGAGAAACTTTAAGATTTGAGGACCTCAACTCCCAGAATTCTCCAGCTCGCAGGCTGACTGGAGAATTCTGGAAGTTGAAGTCCAGGCCATCTGAAAGTTGCCAAGAGTGAGAAATACAGCTATAAGTCATACATTTCAGCATAATCAGCTGGATTCTATAGCATTTTTTCATCATCTTCAATTTTCAAATTACATTGGTATTTAAAACCTATCTGTTGACTTATGGCCATGATGGCTAACCAATGGCATGCATGCCATAGGTGGCACACGGAGCCACCTATGTGTGGGCATGTGAGTGTTGCCCTAGCTTAGCTCCAGTGCGCATGTGCGTGCCAGCCAGCTGATTTTCGGGCCTTCTGGGCCCACTGGAAGTCAGGAAATGGGCCGTTTCCAGCCTCCGGAGGGACTCCGGGTGGGGGGAAGCTGTTTTTGCCCCCCCCAGACTCCAAGAAAGCCTTTGAATTATGGGTGTGGGCAAGTGCACACGCGACCCCCCCCTCACTCCCCCTGCTTTTGGCACACGACAGCAAAAATCCAATCCCAGTGATTTGGGTAGCACGGCATGGCCAGCTGCAGACTTGAAATGTTTAAAAGATTGCCAACAGATTCCTGATGCTTAGCAATACAAATGGAATTGTGGATACCCTAATTAACATCACTATTCCAAGCATGACTAAGTCTCTATAATGGGATGAAATAATCTCTCCGTAGTGAGCAATCACATTCAGAACATCAGTGCGTGCCATAACTCTTTACAGTCAACATGACTGCTAAATAATTAATACAGCCCTGCCCACAAAATGTCTACAGCTCAGAGGCAAACATCATAATAACAACAACAAGAAGAAAAAAAATAATTAAAAAAAAAACAAAAACAAGGTTGACCTCAATGAATCAGAAGGAAGACATTTCCTGGCAGACACAAAAGTTCATAGAAAAAGGAAAAGTGCTGTTATCTCTCAGATGGAACAGTTTGGGGAAGGTTTTCCATTTTAAAGCCTATTCACACTTGGCAACTGGAGCTGCTTCCGTGACAGCTTGATTCTAAGCTGCTTGCAGGACATTTCTCTGGTCTGGGACACTTTGGCAACATCTGGCAAGGGATTAAGTCTACAGAGCAGGCTGCCATGTTCTCCTACTGGACAATTCCTCTGTTGTTGTGTCCTTCCACCAGGAAAACAAATATTAATTGCTTCCCTTCCAGTGGGAGGATCTTCCTGGAAATATATTTTACATATGTATAAAATACATCTATATTAAACTAAATGTGTGTGTGTGTGTGTGTGTGTATTATATGTATTATATAGTATATGTGTGTGTCAGTAGTGGGTTTCAATTTAGTTTGCTACTGGTTTGCTCGTGTGTGCACGCTCGCTCGCGCAATGCTTCTGCGCATGCGCAGAAGCATCGGGCAGGTGGGCGGAGCCTCCCGCCGCCACCACTACTGGTTCGCCCAATCCAGGGTGAACCGGTAGCAATCCACCACTGGTGTGCGTGTATATAAGTATATTAAAGGACAGAAAGACACATATATGCAATGATATACTACATCTGCATTTAAAATAAACATTTTATTGTCAACCCTTTTGTACTCTGATAATTTCTAAATCTTTTCTTTAGTGTGAATGCTAAAATAGCACAAGACTAAGAATTTTACCCTGTAGCTATGAGGTGGCTGGTTCATAAACCGGAAAAACAATTTTTTCTAAATCATTATTTTTCAACTACCTAGTTTTCCTTGCATTTATGTTTCTCAAAAAAAAATTGTCCCCAATTAGCTATGGAAAGATTGCTAGATAAAATAAAAAGTAGTTTAAAATATTTTGTAGGAGGAAAACGATGGTAATAATAATAAAAAAAAAAAAAGACAGGAAATAACTGGCAGGACCCGGCTGAACTAATAAACTTTATTTATAGTTCATGAAGCTTGTGACTTTTAATAAAATTTGTTACTCTGAAAAGTTACTACAGGTAGTTCTCAACTTACAAACATTAGTTTAGTGATCGAAGTTTACAATGGTACCAGTGCTGAAATCTGAACTGGTTTACTATAAGTTCGCTGGCCGTGCATGCACACCATGTGCCAAATGAGCGCAGCACCGCACGCATGCACAGCGCACACCAAATGTGACTTGCGCACACAC